CTTCAGCGGGTGGGCATCACCTGGTCGTCAAGTTCGTCATGGCCGATGCTGAAGCTGCTCAACAGAACGCAGTGGTACGCGTCTTCGGTGCGGATTGCGAATTCGTGTACTTGATGTGCTTCTATCACGTGGTGGCCAAGGTTCACGAAAAACTCAAGAGTGTTCCGGACCGCTTAAGCGAGCAGGTGATGGCGGACATTTACGACCTTCATTTCGCGACGACCTCAGCTGTCTATGACGAACAAGTGAAACAAGTGCTGACGAAATGGTCAGGTGACGAACACTTGGTTGGCTTCAAAGACTATTTCGAGCGCACATGGGTAACAAGCGCATTTTGGCGATGGCAGTGTTTTCATACGCCGAGTGGATTTGCCACAGGGAACAACCCGGTCGAACAGCTCAACAGGTTGATAAAGCGTGACTACACTCTCCGAACGAAGCACAAGATCGGAACATTGGTCCAGTTGCTCGCGGATTGCTGTCAGCATCAATCTGTCGCCCCCAAGGTATTCAAGGTATTGCCTGAGCGAACGCAACAGCTCAAAGCTCGAGTAAAAGATTTCCGGCCCCGAGATCTCCTTCTCGACATGACTCCTGGACGGTCGAGCATTGAGTTCTTACTGGCGTCCCCGAACCCGAATGAGGTTCGTGTATTGTCGCGCGGCTGTTCTCGCGTTTATCTACCTGGGTTGGGGCGTAGTAGAGAAACAGCCCCTGTCTCGGCTTAGATGGGCACCAATTACGCTCGCATGGAGATGGAGGGTCAGCCAGATGGTGGCTGGAGCGTCGACGTTACTGCGATGACATGTGGGTGCAAGTATTACTTCAAGTTCTCAATTTGTATTCACCTTCTGTTTGCTCTTCAAGTTAAGAGCTACACCGGTTTAGATGGAAAGAGAACCGTCGTGAACCGCACGGTAGCGAGGAAGCGCCGCCGCACTCGGCAAGCAACTCTCCATATTAGCGGCGCGAGTTCCCAAGTTCCTGCTGGTCGTCCTCGGACAAACGGCCACGCACTTAGCATGGACTAACGCTTAGATAGTGTTGCATCGATGAAAACACTTTGTTGCGTCAATCAAAGCACTTGATTATTTTGATTTTTTTGCTTGAGCTAGTTTTCTTGCAAAGCGATAAAAGATTGTTTTTCTTGTGAAACTTCTCTTCATCCATGAGAACGCACTTAAATAGAACATCTCTCTTAAATACATAAATAGATGCACAGAACGGAACTTTAAATATCTATCTATCTGAAGTCTACTTTATCGATGTTCATTCCGCAATCCGCCCTCACGATGGCCACCCCTGGACACGACTTCGGCTCCGCCCCCCGCTTCACCCACCTCCGCGACAGAGTTTTTTTTTTAATGGTGCCAGCAGCACCTAAAGCAGCGTGGGTGGGGCCGCCTCGATCAAGAGGCCGCCCGATTTTTAAGGTCGTGGGGCTTTACTCAACGAAGCTCGTCACCCGACGTTGGAGGCACCATACGGCGTCTTCTTGACGCCGTACCGCAAGCCCGCATTACTAAGCCCCGTCTCATTGATGCTGCACGTCAAGGCGATGATGCGGGCGAAGCGGAATGGGTTCTACCAGCTGGAGTGAGCTTAAAAGCCCAGCCGACCTACCAGATGCGGACGATTCTCGACGACCGCCGCGAGAACGGAAGGGTCCTATTCCTTACCGCATGGGAGCCAACATGGGAGCCCGCAGCAAACCTTACCTCCGGCGAACTCCGTAAGTATCGGCAGCGCAAGCGACGTAAGGTAGAGAGGGCCTACATTGAAGCTGAAGCAGAAGAAGAATAAGCACTAGAGATAAGAGAGAATGATTGCATTTACATTGCATTAACACAATTAATATACCGTTCTTCATTACAGGATCTTCGTAGTACGTCATTTTCTGTAATAAGGCCAATTCCGCACAGCCTTCAGCAAGGACGGTACAGGGGCTAGCCCTTCAACACGTCCCGCACAAGCCGCCCGAAATCAGCCTTCTTACAGCACCTTGTAACCGTCCTGCATGTCGCCGCGCCCGCGCACAAGTAGTCTGCATGTCGTAGTGTCCAATCGCAGCCACGCAGTAGTCGTAGGTCGAGGCACGGGCGCCGCCATGCCGGCGATCAAGCCCGAGACACGCCGCGCCCTGGTTGCCTTGCTGCGCCCTTCAGAGGAATTTGTCGAATGAGCTGACTGCTCCTCACCGGAGAGGCAGCCAGCTCTGATTGGTAGATTTACAAGGACGCAACCACGGAATGGATGGTCCATGGGTACGTCCTACTGTCTGTGCCGCACAGATGTGTCACACATGTGCACGCGCACGTGCGACAAGGCCCACATGATGTGGCACATCTGTGTGGCATGCAGACACTCTTTGTGTTGGCTGCATACTGCTGTGTGATAATACTATTTTGTCTTACAAATAGTATCAAATAGGGTCATCGGTGGGTCTGGTCGTTTTTGGACCCGCGCTCAAAAAAACTGGGCAATTCTAAAACAGACCCAAATGGCCCTAAAAACCTAAAAGAAAACGAAAGAAAAACGGCTTTTGAAAAACTGCATTTTCTCAGTGGTCAAAATCAATAGAATGATACAGGTACGAACTTATAACTTATTCATTCTCATCTAATAACCACTTTATGCCGCGACATCTGATCTCGATGCTCTACGACTACGTTGGGTAGGTCTAGTTGTACTCACACTTTCGTAATACGCCGTGGGCATGTGGGCATTCGTTTTTAAATTACCATACTACGAATGTACAATTGCTCGTGAAGTACGTAACGACCGTCAGCATATCTGAAAATGAGCATCATGCTCAGAGAACTTCTACCTGGCGAGTTCATCTCAGCGATTAACGAAGAGATGAAGCATTCCGGCGCTACCAAACGGTAGCTAAACATGGATTCATAACGAATATTTCGCGAATACCAGCAGCTAGAGGATATGATGCCGATGCTCTGGCGTTCAAGAAATTATACTATCTTAGCCGAAAATATTGGTTTTAGCCACTTTTGGAAACATAAAACTCTTATCGTGCAAAATTAGAAAGCGTTAGAAACGCCCCTCTGTTGTTATGGTCAAATTTTAAGGTATAAATAGTTTGTATTAGTCTCTTCTTCCGAACAAGCCTAATTTTACGAAATATGTCAAAACAACCTAATACAGTAAGTCGGGAAATGGTTCGTGGCGGTGAAATTCGGATAAATCGTTGGTGGACTGGTAGTCACCTGCACCACAACTAAAACATATACTCATTTCCATTTTTCTGGTGGCTAACGTCTATACAACTAAGAGAACACAAACCATTGCCCGTTTAAGATCAAGCATCGCAAAGCTGGTACAGGCGGTCCAGTGAGTGTTCTACTCGCTGGACGTTCAGCTTAACCGCTCTCATTGAAGCATACAAGAGTTATCCCGGATTATCTAACCGCCATGTTCCATAATCTAGTTAATCTGGTCGTTAAAGTGATACTTGATCCCTCACGTGCGTTTAACTCTTTCGTGCGCCATTTACATAAACTATATTATACAGAGTTATGTAATTTGTTTCTAAAAGGCGGTTTTATCGCAAAATCACGGTAGTCCTTTCGCCCATCTCTTGTAATAAATCGTTCAAGATGCTTTGATGATGCAATCAGACATGCATTTGACTTCATTAAAACAAAGCAGGATGATTAAGAATCGCATGACACCTGCAATGCCATACCATAAAGTACAGATCCTGCAAAAGCGTCCTTGTAGAGGCTAATCCCTACTCTCCTTTGCACGAATATCTAAAAGGGCGATTTTTGCGCCCTTTTCCCACGAAGGATTAATATGGATACGACTGTGTCCTAGAAACAGCCAAAACAAAAAAGCGGTAGCTGGTATGAATGAATATCATCAAATCTCCGACATCACTTATTTTTAGTAAGGGAATAAATAATCAATCATCCATTTTGTTTTTTAAACAACCAATCATTGACGGATTCCAAATCGTGCTGGCCAATCGAATCCGAAAGAGTTAAAAACATTACCTAAGCACCCAGCTCCAACAAATCGGGTCAGAGGGAAAAGGAAAATATAAATCCTCCTACAAATTTCAAGATGTTAGCGTATCACACGCGTATCATCATTTATCCGACTTCTCCGACCGGTATTACACTCCGCGCCATAAGTTATCGACAGGGTACGCCCCTGCCAATAACTCGGCCATTTTTTTTTAAACTCAGAAACGCTGTTTAGATATGACACGCAGTTGATTGGACAAAATGCTCTACACGTGTTAACAACTTCGATTTTGACGTCCTTAACAGGGTTGATATACAAATGGACCGATTTAGCACTGCGACAAAACTATCGGCAGATTGGCGTCTTTACAAAAGCTAAGATAACTAGAGTGATGGTCATTTTGCATATGCAGCTGAACAGCCATTGAATTTGCGCTGGACGCGCCCTTAATAGTTTTCCGGCTGTATGGCAAGCAAACCACGACTGCAGGACGAAGAACACGGGCGGATTAAGGGACTCTTTGAGGCAAACCTGTCAGAGAGCCAAATTGCCAAGCGAACGGGGCGCTCAAGGGAGACGATCACACGAACGCACCAACTGGAAAGCGCACAGGTCGGCCTCCGACCATTTCAGAGCGTGAAGTACGTCGTATTGTACGCACGGCTGCTGCTGGCGAGTACAGCGCTGTACGACGGAAGGCAAGACGGCGCGCATAAACCGGAATGCAATCGCGATCTACAAGGCAGCACCAGTTCCGCCGCAGCCGAATCCACCGGAAGACTGCAACCAACAATTCTTGGGGCTATCGACGAAATCGCCCGCCAGCCCACCTTGGACCCAGCACAGGTTTGGAAAATTATTCGACAGCGGTTTTACCAGGACAATGAAGGTGTTGTTGGCGGTCTTCGCAAGGAACAAGTTGAGCCGGTTCTACCGAACCAAACTGAAAAATTTCGGTAACGACGTTTTCGTGAAAATCAAGACGACCCCTCTTTGCAATGTCCGCAGAAATCCAGACTTGAAGTTTTTTCAGTTTCACGTCAATTACTACGAAGGTGATTCTCTCCAGCATGGGATTGTCTGGGGTCTTCCAGCCCTTCTGGACCGGCTCCGGTCCCGTCAAAGCTCGATTTTTGTGGACGCGACGTGGGGGCTGAGTCGTTGGTGTTGTCTCGATGAAGGGAGGTGGTGGTCCTTGGTACTCGTGTAGACGGCCCACACGGTTGAGGTAGTCGTACCTGTTACGGCACGACTTCTTTCGCTTCGCCACCTCCTTCCGCTGTTTCACAAATTGCGCCCCACAGGCGTTCACCTTGTCCTGGTGACGCCTCACGTTCCCGTGCGCGGCGAAGCGCTTCTTGCACTTCGGACACTTCTTGGAGCGCCGGACCATCTTGGGAAATCAACAGAGTAGTCAGTCCAAATTATCCTATTGTTAAAACGTATATTAAGTTTCACAGGAATTTTCTTACTCAATGCATCAACAATTGGGTCAATCTTAATATACAATTTCGATTATTTTTATTTTTAAAGATAAATCGTCGGATAAAAAGTTGATCCCAAAGTTGACCCTTCCCGTGTTTGATCCGAAAAAAAAATCGATTCAAAGGATCAACAATTGAATCAACTCTAGTACAAGAATAACATTATTCGTTACAACTTAACGTAATTCATCAGATAAAATGTTGATCCAAAAGTTGACCTGTCCCGTGGTTGATCCAAAAAAATAAATTCCAGTCGATCTCGTCCGCGAAGGGCTGTATCCACATCTACGCATTTGTTCGTCCATTCAGAGTCTTTAAGTCGATGATAGGAGTCGGCAGAACCAGTAGCCACTAGAGCTCGCTCACCCTTGGTTGCGGAGGTCTCAGGCGTGCCCTTGTCCAGGGTGTAGCGCTCTTGGGCTTGGCTTGGAGGTCACGGACCTTGCCTTCAATGCTCTGCTTGAGGACTTCGAGATGTATTTCCGCTGGCCTTTCTAGATGCGGAGATCATCTTTGTACGACTTGGATATCGAATGGAACAGATAAATGAACTTCTGGCACTCGGTCATCACCGCTCGCTGGCTTCTGACACGGCTTTCATCGCGTTCTTGAGTTTGAGAAAGAACTTAGTCAAGTCTGAGCCTTCCTCATACTTGATCTCCGTCAAGTTGTGTTGGATGAAGTACTAATCACCATGAACGGCTGCTCCCTCGTACTTCTGGCAGATAAAATTGAAGATCTCGTAGGATGTCGTGAGATTCTTGATCAGCCGCACGTGCATATTGCTCATCGTTTCCATCAAGAAAGCTTTGGTCTTGGTTTCTTGGCGACGGCACTCACGCTGACTAAGAGGCTGAGACTTCTCTTTCTTGACGCGTCTGCAGGCACGGCGAGCTTTGCGCTGGATGGACGGTCAAACTACCGGGAGGTCCTTCCGCTTGATTGGGATATCAGAGCTGGCTCCCGAGTCTTCTTCCGGGTCTGAGGGCGGCTTGAGCTCGTCGTTGCTCTCGTCATAGTCCACAGCGTCGGAGTCAATTTTGACGTTCTTGGTAACCTTGCCATGCGTTTCGTCGTCGACGTTAGACATATCGCTGCAGCTGTCTTCATACGCACCACCGTAGTCAGAGTGCTTCACGTAGCCAAGTAGATATTTGACATCGAGTGCGGGTCTTCCACACGTCGAAGTTCTTGGCGCCGAGAAGACGTGGAAAATCGTCGCTTGAGACTTGGCTTGGGCTCATAATCTATGGCGAGTTATGTTGGTATTGAACGAAGAAGGAGAAGAAGAGGAGTAGTGTCTGTGAGTTGTAAAAAAAAAACAAAGTGAGTGTATTGAGAGAGAGAGAGAGAGAGAGAGAGAGAGAGAGAGTGCTAGCTCTTGCAGATGATTGGTGTAAGGAGGGTGAGTCTTATATTATGGCTCACTCTATAGCATACTCTACTCTGGTCTAACGGCTTTAATTTGTTTTTACTGACTGAATATCAGCTCTTGGGCACACCGTATCACTTAACAAGGGGGCTGGTTCAACAACTTCTATGCACTACTGGTGGAGATACTCCAACCTAAACGACTCCACCAACTCGGTCACGATGTTCTTGTGCTGCGCCATGCCTCAAGCAAGTTATGAACTAGAGGAGTTGATCTACAGTAGAAACATCCCAAAAGCGGGAATTTTCACGCAGGAAAAGGACCATTTCGAGCGCAATGAGCTGTAGGCCATTACGCTCGTGTCCAAGAGTTGCACGCGCAACACTGAAGAAGCGCTCCACCTTGTTCGAGGTGGCGGGGATGCTGCCTACGAGGCAGTACCGAGCTTCTCGTGCTTTAAGACGGCGCCTCTTCTCGAGCCGCTGCACAAGCGAGTCCGTCTCGGCTTCTTCATCATTGTTGTTCGGGGCACGGTCTACTTGGAGAAAAGAACGAAGAGCCCGTTTCTCCGACGCGGTGAGGCGGGCTCCATTTCCTTTGAGCACACGGACGCAACCCGACTCAAAGTCTGGGCTGTGAACGATGTTTGCTCGAGGAGCTACATGTATCAGTATTAGTTAGAAAATATTATAAAAAAAGTATCGTAGCTTAGCGTACTGATATAAGCAGCGAACGCAGGCTGGGCTTCAATAAGCCCGTCGAACCAGATCCGCACGTCCAGTAGGCTCACGTTCTCTCCTTGTAAGGCCTTGGACACTGACTCAAAGTCTTTGAGATCTGCGTAGAGTTCCTTGAGCCGGCGGTTGCATGCCGGAGACGACAGCAAGCCCATAAGCTCCAGTACAGCAAAGTAGCGATGCACCATTTAGAAAGTGGACCCCCAGCGGGTATCCTGCCGAATTACTGGCCGAAGTGTTGTCTTAAATCTAGTAAAAAAAAACCATATAAAATATCATATTATTTGCATAATAATAACACAAAATAGTATTAGTACTAATACCAATACTAATATCAATAGTTCTTACCGAAGTTTTGCTGACTGCTTAATCGTCCGCAGCTTGGTCATCAGGTCTTGCACAGCAGCCAAATCGTCCTCGTTATGTGTCAAGTGCTGCTGAACGGCCCGATTTAGTCGATGACTAGCGCATCCGGCCAGCAGCACTTGCATCACGGTTGTCAATCACCTGTTCACTGAACAGTTGTCCCCAACTAGGTACTTGCAGCAACTTAAATTCTTACCAAAATCTTGCTCGAGCATTCCTGCCAAAAAGTTGCGGTGATACGGGCCGACAGGTCCTCGTCGGGCTCGTTAACCACAGAGGTCATGCTCAGAAGCGCCGACTTAGTAATGCCATTGTCTTCGTAATACGCAAACACATCTGCTACGCAGCATGGTCCAAAGGACATAGAGCTCGAGCTCTGCCACCGCCGGGTAAAACTAATAGAAAAGAAGTACAGCGCTACGCTTGTACATTCTTTAACACAATCAGAAATCAAATACATTTTTTTAAACTACGTCTGGTATAACTACGCACAGACACATCCTTATCTTGCTCATCTTCTAGACGGTGACGATGCGCAGTATCCTCTGGTTTATATCTCTTAGGAAACACTTGACGTCTCGCATTTAGAAGCATCTGTTCCCATCCATGTTGACTCACTTGATCCCAAAAGTTACGCCTTGGTTGTCGTTGGTGTACAACCGAATTCCGTATCGCTTGAAGATAGTCATCGTGCGCACGACGGATTTGCCTTCTTGTGTGAACCATTAGTTCGTAGACTCCACGTCAGCAGCAATTGTAACAGTCAAAGGTTGTCTTTGCACTGGATAACGTAGACCGACAGGAAGTTCCTTGAACTCGACAAGGTAGTTCAGCTTCACAACAATCTTGTACTTAAGATCGTCACCAGAACTAGTAGCACTGTTTAGACGAACTGTATCATTCACAGGCTTCACACGAATCAATAGTTTCTCCGGAAGTAGAGGGTTTGTGTTAGTAGCCGTCCAATTCTCAACTGATGAATCCAAACGAATTTCTCTTGTGTGTTGACCAGTACGGTATTCTCCAGAAATGACACACTTGGATACACCATTGTTTGCCACCATGTTCGTATTCTCAAAATTGTCTATCAAGGCAGTCGAGTTGATGTTCTCAGCATTGATGGTGTCATCAGGATGTTCTCCTGCAACTTCAACTTTTCCAGTTCCAGTGATAGCAAGAGCACGGCGATCGAGATAGTGGTACATTGTGTTTGGCCACAGCTGCATATCGTCGTTACTAGCCAGTGTATTTGGCTGGTCATCGTTGTAGAAGAGTCGGTATACCCACAAAGGTTCTGTAGATAAGTTCTCCACAAACACATTGTACTGGCACGATACCACATGATAGTAGTTGTATAGTCCGGAGTAGTAGTTAAACCACCGGGCCGATTGCAACGTTCCATCAGCGCTCTCAGGAGTAATGTTTGTAACACCAGCACCAGCGTTAATGCCAACAACAGAATTGGCTTGCGAACAATCGTATGGTGAGGTCAGACGAAAGATATGATCTCTCGAATAGTAGTCTGCAATATCCGCGTATCGCGTTTCAACATACGGCAGACTCGCGAACGTATAGTCTGGTGGTCCTCTGAACACGACATAGGGATTATCGATTGGAGTCTCTCGAAGACCGGCTTGGTTACCAGATCCGTCACCTTCACCACTTCCATTTCCGTTCATAGTATTCTGGAAGTTGACTTGTGCGTTATCAGTCGAATTCGGCAATGATGGTTCTCCAGGTGATTGACCATCTTTTTTATCGTCCCAATGTTTTCCTCGAAGACGCTTTCCTGGTGGTCCTACTAATCCAGCTTTTGCTGCATTACGTTTTATACCAAAGTACAGTTTTCCTAGCGCTCCACCGTAATCGTTAAATGAGAATTCTTGATATGCTCGTTCATCGTCTTTTCCATATTGTGTATATGGATTGAATCCTTTTTTTTCCAAGAAATCATAAGCAATATCATGTGCTAAAGCAACTCTGTCATTCTCGTTATTTGATTCTCCCTTGTCAAGTTTGTTTCCTGGTCCTAGATACTTGTATCCTGGCAGTGTTAAGTCCCACATCGTCTTTTACTTACTGACTCGAGTGAGGCGAAGTGTTCGTTCCGTAGTAGTGATCCTTGATGATCTGCTGGTATTCCTTGGCAGTCTTCAACGACTCTCCAGTGGGAATGTCACGAGTGTAATCCCACGACATGAAGAGTTTGGTTGGATCTTGATTTCCCACGCGTTTCAAGCCGTTCAGTTCGTACTTCGACAGAAGCTTCAGTCCGAGTATCTGCAAAAGAACACGAACGTTCACTTCATAGAAGCGACGACGCAGAGCCGTTAGATTTTCATTGCGTCCTGGCATGTCTTCCGGAATCACATCGTTGATGGTGAAGTTGGAAGAGACCAAGACAGTGGTACGAGCCAGTTGCGGCGTCTTGTACTTTTGGTCAACTGGGAAACCAGCTTCGTCACAGATGGTCTTTAGGAACTGGACTCCCAACTTTTCAACCGTCGTGTGATCGACATCTTGAAGAAGCATGTGCGTGTGCACTTTTGGCTGGTACAAGTCGAAGAAACGGTTGTCCAGATTCTTGTTGTAATACGCAGGATAGATGACCTGCAAGATGGCAGACTTGCCAGAACCAGGAGTACCAGTAAGCCAGATGTGAGGGTCACCGTTGCTCTTGAAAAAGTCACGACGCTGTGAGATCATAGCTTTCAGCTTTTCTCCATAGGTCAAGTAGTTTCGAGGAAACTTGGTGAAGGCTTCCTCTTCGCGTCCTTCTTCGATCATGCCTCGCATCTCCTTGATGACATCGTCAAGTTTTCTCTTCTTTTCCTCTGGCGATCTCTTGGTCACTTGAGCAGAGATATTGGGTTTGTCAGCAGGTAGAGTGCCGTACTCATACAGCTTGAAGTCCTCGTTGATTTTCGTTTTTGACTTGGTGTGATGATCGATCCAGCCTTGGATAGGCAGATCACGGTTACGTGGAACAAGGTAATAGCCATTGCCTTGCTTGATTTGAAGATTCTTCAGCACGGAGTTCTTCGAGACGCGGTTATTGTACACCAGAGCTACGTGCACGTGCTTGATGAGGTAGTCCGTTTGGTAAGGACGATCACCGATCTCTACTCCACCGACGAGGCAGTATTGGAACTTTCCTTGGTCAACTTCGCTCTTGACATTGAGAAGGAGAGCCTCGAGATCTTCATCGGTAGGTACATTGAAGCGTGCGTCCCACTGACGGTCCATAGTGTGGAAAGGAACAAGAGGGGCCATGGTTGTTGGAGAGAAGAGAAGTTTTTATTTGCCGGTAAGATTGGAAATGAGCTAACGGACTTTTGTGAATGTCTTTGTTCGTATAGAGGAGTGTCTCTGTAATAGAACATAGAAAAATTTCTAAATAGAATGATGGTACTTGAACATGAATACAAATGTTTCTTACCGCGGTTAGAAATATGGAACGTTACCTCCTAGAGGTACGTTGAGATCTTTTACCTTGCGGCAGGAATCTGCCATGGCGCACGAACAACACCATAACATCGTGACGGAACTCGTCGAGAGTTTTATCGTCGAAGAGAACAAGGCGCTCCATGACAAGCTACGTACGGCCATGAACGAAGCGCAGGCGTTGCGTCTACGCCTTACTCGCCTGAACACGTTGTACAACATGGCGGGAGGACTGAACGGTCGCATGCAGCAAGAGCTGCGAGATTTGCATGCAGCGATTGAGATGATGGATCTGATCGCGAGGGAATATTTCATCAATAACGCGGAGGCCCGTGCGCGTTGGGCCCCGTACTGTGCGTTCGAAGATGACGAGTTTCATCGTTTGATTGCGGAAGCGAATGCTGGATTTCCGTCGGACTTGGCCATCGTGATGGAGCCAACCCAAGAAGATGAAGATGATCGTGACTCGATCATCGACATCTTGGAGCTGACGGAAAAGGAAATGCGCGATTTCATGGATGTGTAACTACATAATACATGTCTCATTTCATCTGAATGATTGTTGTTTGTCTTAAGAATGATTGTATGAATAGTGTGAAAGAAGGTACAAGCGTAGCGCTGTACTTCTTTTCTATTAGTTTTACCCGGCGGTGGCAGAGCTCGAGCTCTATCTGCTACGCAGCATGGTCCAAAGGACATAGAGCTCGAGCTCCATGCCACCGCCGTGACTAAAACAATAGAAAAGAAGTACGGCGCTACGCTGCCGTCTTCTTTCACCATCTTCAAGGCAGATGCCTTACAAAGAAAAAAAAACACACAGAGACATCAAACAATAAAGGAAAAGTTCAAGGAATACGTATATTACTTCTTATTCCTGATCCATTATGAAACGAAACATGTCGTCGTCGGTCAACGCACCGACGAGATCAAACTCGTTTTCTTCCTCACTCTCCTCGGCTTCCGTAGGTTCCATGAGAATGGTCAGATCCGAATAAAAGCCGACGTTCGCTTCCAGGATCATACGGTCAAAGTCAGGGTCCCCATACGCACAGTAAGGACCCCAACGAACACGCGCCTCCGCGTGGTTCACGAAGTACGCACGAGCAATGAGATCTATCATCCCAATGGCGGAGTGTAGCTCCCGCAACTCGGATTGTAAACGCCCGTTTAAGCCGCCAGCCATGTTTTACAGCGTCGAGAAACGGGTCAACCTCAAATGCAACGCGTTCGCTTCATTAAGAGCCGTACGGAGCTGCCCCTCCAGACGTACGTTATCCTCGTTGATTAACGCCTTCGAGCAGTGCACGCAGAGTTTCCACTGAAATCGGCTCCAAGGAAGTGTACCTTATAAAAACATAATCATATTAGTATTTACATTATCAAAAAAGTAGTAATAGTAATCCGTACCGGCGAGCGAACGCGTTCTCGCAGAACATGAGAAGCAGATTTGCCTTTACAATCCACTCGAGCCAGCCGAAGCGGTTCATAGCCGTCCGGCAAGCGTAGTGCGCCACCGAACCGGTCTGAGCTGTTGTAGCAGCGAGCATCTCTCCTTGGAAGGTTGGATGCTCGCTGCGCACATGCTGCATGAGATTGGTGAAGCCATTTCGGCTCGTCTGCTTGCGTACCTTCCCGCAGCGGCAGCGAAAGTACTCCGGCACGGGTTCGCCGTACTGGTCGCGGCACGGTGAGTAGAAGTACGCCGCAATCTGCGCGTTTGAAAAAGCTGAGCGGGGACGAGGCGTAGCTAGCATGAGGTATAGAGCTTGTAGCAGACAGAAAAACTTGGAAAGTGAGGAGACAATGTGTCGGAGAGCTGTTTGGATAGATGGTTGGTTCGTGGAGGCTGACTGAAGGTAAACGTTTCCGCATTATAACTAAGTATGAATAGTACCTTATCATAAATTATGCGTGACAAATAGTAATTTGGGGTCATAAATGTACTACTTTCATGACTTATAAATAATGTAATCATATTTATGACCATTATTGCAAGTGTCATTTATTTTTCGGCGGCCCTGGATACTCGTAGCTTACGATTTCTGATTTTTCACAGTTGAGTTTTTATTTTTCACAATAGAGGTAGAAGTTTAAATTTCGCCAAAAAAAAGAAAAAAAATACGATGCCGGACCAGCGCAAGCGCCGCCGCTCTCGATCACGTTCGCACTCGGAGAGCAAACGTCCGGCTGTGGAGCTGGACGAGGAACAGCGCAGAGAAGCAGAGCGCATTGCTGCCATCGCCAAACGTGCCGAAGAGCGAGCAGCTCAGCGCAGGGTGAAGGAGCAGGAAGAAGTCGCTCCTAAGTCGAAAGATGCGGCTGCGAACGAGCGAAAGCTGCCGCTGAAGATAGAAGAGACCTCGACAGCTACGGATGATCCTCCCTCTAAGCCTACGTTCCGCTCCAAGGCTCAGAGACAGAAGGACGCGCTCGAACGACTCGAGAAGAAGCGACAGGAGGTGGACATTCTCCTCATTCTGCTAATTATGTTGTTATATTGTTAATAGTTATTATGGTGACAGGTAGAGAAGCAGCGGAAGGAGACGGAAGAAGCTCGGCGCCAATTTCTGCAGCGTCAACGGAGTGAAAGAGAGAGGGATCGAAGCTCACGGTCCAATGGTGACCGTCGTCGTGATGACCGAGCTGTGAGCAGTTCAAGAGATCGACGGGCAGCAGATACTTCATCTAAAAACGAGAGCAAACCGGCGCTACTGGATCCGAGCGAGGCGAAGGCTCTACAAGCGCTGAAAGATCAGTACTTGGGCAAGACAGTGAAGAAGAAAAAAGTGGTTAAGGCTAGCGAGAAATTCTCGAAGATTTTCCAGTTTGACTGGGAAGCTTCAGAGGATACAAGCACGGACCTGAACCCGTTGTATGCCCACAGGATGGACGTAAACTTGCTGTATGGACGCGGTTATCGTGCCGGTGTGGACATGCGCGAGCAGCGCAAGAAGAACTCGTTCTTGGAAGAGCTGAGCCACAAACGCCAGAAGGAACAACAACTCGCAGACGAGACGGACGGCAGCTTAACTAGTGAGCAGATCGCAGCTAGACAGCAGGAACGTGAGCGTGCTCTGCGCAACATGCAGGCTCGCGAACGAGACCGTATCCAGGAGATGGCTTCACGTGAGGCGAAAACTATGGGCACGCACTGGTCGGAGAAGTCGCTGGATGAGATGAAGGAGCGTGACTGGCGTATCTTCCGTGAGGACTTTGACATTACTCTTAAAGGTGGGCGTGCTCCCAACCCGCTACGTAAGTGGAGCGAAGCAGGCACGATGCTGCCTGACGCTGTGTACAAGGCCATCAAGGACTTGGGCTTTGAGCGACCGTCACCTATTCAGATGCAGGCTATTCCTATTGGTTTGCAGAAGCGCGACATCATTGGTATTGCTGAGACTGGTTCCGGTAAGACTGCAGCCTTCGTGATCCCCATTATCGCCTACATCTACTCGCTGCCGGCTGCCATGGTGGCACGAACCGGTGAACAAGGTCCATTGGCGCTGGTTATGGCACCTACCCGTGAGCTGGCGCTGCAGATTGAACAAGAAGCTATTAAGCTGTGCAAGTACACGAGCGTGGGGCTGCCAGAGAAGATGAACCCTATCAAGACTCTGTCTGTCGTTGGTGGTCAGAGCATCGAGGACCAGGGATTCCGTCTCCGCGAGGGTGTAGAGATTATCATCGGTACTCCTGGTCGTCTAATGGATTGTCTGGAGAGCCACTACCTGGTGCTGAACCAGTGCAACTACGTGGTATTGGATGAAGCCGATCGTATGATTGATATGGGCTTTGAACCGCAGGTGGTGGCTGTGCTGGAGAACATGGGATCACTGTTAAAGTCCGAGAACGAAGAAGAGATGGAACAACAACTTACGTTAGCGAACGGAGCGCAGCCAGGAGAAGAACTTCGGCACCGTCTTCGAGTCACGACCATGTTCAGTGCTACGATGCCTGTCGAGGTGGAGCGTCTAGCTAAGACATTCTTACGACACCCGTCTATTGTCAAGATTGGTGACGAGGACTCTGGCAAGAACAAGCGCATCGAACAGCGTGTCATGTTCATGAATCCAGGAAAGAAACGCTCCAAGCTGGTGGAAGTGCTGCGTGACATTCTCAGTGCGCAGAATGTTCCAGTGCCACGGTCTCGTAAGGAGAAAGTGGTGGATGGCGCTAAGATCATCGTGTTCGTCAACATCAAGAAGGAGTGCGACTCTGTGGCCAAGTTCATCTCAAGCGAAGGCTTCCGCTGCACTATTTTACATGGTGGTAAGACGCAGGATCAGCGTGAGGAGAGTCTCAAGATGTTCCGTGAAGGGTATTGCGATATGTTGGTGGCCACGGATGTGGCTGGACGTGGTCTGGATATCCCGGACGTGACGCACGTCGTGAACTTCGACTTGCCGTCCAAGATCCAGAACTACTCGCATCGTATTGGGCGTACCGGTCGTGCCGGTAAGGACGGTGTAGCCATCTCGTTCCTCACTGACGACGACGAGGAGATCATGTACGACCTCAAGCAATACCTCGTGTCGACAGAGATGCCTGTACCCAGTGAGCTGGCCAACCATCCGTCCGCTAAGGCTGCTCCGGGTGCTCGTGACGAGAAAGGAAACGTCATTGCTCGCTCCAAGCGCGACACCGTCATCTACGCTAAGTGAGGGCGGCAAAACATTGCAGAACGTGGGCTTTGTCTACTTCATTTGGCGCTGTGTTGATGTTTCTGTCCCTTTATATTTACTGGCTAACCTGGTTCTTAGCTGATCTCTATGGACACGCCGAGGTGGTGCGAGTCGCTGTCGTAGTGCCGCAAGTCCATTTGAGCAGACACGCGCGTCTTTAGGTGCTTAGAGGTGCGCCATTCGAAAGCTCCGACGAAGATGCCATCGGAGCCAATGGAGCTAGACACAGTCTCTGTGTCTTTTAAGGCGTACTTGCCCATGAGTCTAAGCGATCGTTTGTCTTTCCTTCGATCAAACACAAACCTTGAGCTCACCATGAGCTCCGGTAACACTGTTTGGGTCAAGTCCAATTGCACCTTGCGTCCTCCATCATTCCTAAAAAAAAAAGGATTAGTAATTCCATTAAAAAAAATTCAGCAAAATTTCACTTACACTTGTAGCAAAGCGAGCAGGTCTTCGTGGGTATAACTCGTAGCAACGTTGAGTGTAGTAAACCTGCCCAGTCTGTCGCTATGGTCTAGTCCGACGTCGTAAGCTCCAATAATCCCCATAGCAATGTCTCCAACTTTTCCTCCTAGTGTGGCCTGCAGTGTCGGTCCATTGACTGCATCAATCTTGGCTCCAGCGAAAAATTTCTGCGTCTTATAATCAGCCCCAATGCGCGCGAAAGACGCCGGTGCCTTGTCTGTAGCGGACTCCTGGGCTTCAAGAGTGAAGCGCAAGCTATCACTGGCCTGGAGGTGCGCCTGAAGCGCCAAATGACGCGACGAACTCACACGAAGACTAGAAGTGATGACGGAGTTGAGCTGGCTTTCACATGCCAGCGCCGACTCGACACTGCGCTTGACTGCGGCCTTGAAGAATGAGGCGAGCACACACGTCTGTAGTCCGATCGCTGTGCCGCTGGGAGTGAGTGTGTTGATCTCCAGCGAATGAAGTGAGTGCGTGGTAGGCTCCAAGGGCTCACTCAGTCGGGTGTTCTCAGCGAGGAAGTCGTTGTACAAGCTGCTACTTAGCCCAGCGGTAGCACGTCGACCCGCCATGATCGAGAGGCGGAGCGATGCGGTCTGGGGGGCCAAGCTGGTACCACCGGAAAGACAAACAGATCGTACAGTGTTTCGCACAGAATAGAGGGGGTTGGTTGAAAATCAGCAAAGAAGAGATACGATTGGTGAAAAAGCGCAATCCTAAACAATTACTGACAGCACTACATGTGAACAATTCTAGCTGTGAAGGTTGGTGTCCGCAAGCTCGTCATTTCCCACGCCGGGGCCGTCGATAGCCTCCCACGGCTCGCGCTGTCGCTGTGTTGATGTGGGGCTACTATTCTCAGCCGCTTGCTCCTCCGATAGATCATCCGCCGACACCTCGTTCTGATCTTCGTGCTCCGGTTCCTGGTTTTCCGACAACTTGTCTGCATCCTGCTTCTCAGCTTCTTTTCCTGTACTGCCACCCACACCTACTTCACCTTCACGCCTGGTTGCTCTCCGTCCACTATCGTTCTTCTCTTCTTCCTCCGATTCGTCCTGTAGATCAATGACTTCCGTTGTCTTGGGTTGAGATACCTGGCGATTCCCCATCTGCGCTAATTGTCTGTTCCTTGCCGCTATCGCTGCAGCAAGCTGGTCGTCCGGCGACATAGACATCGTCGCTGCTACTGGACCACCGCGTGGCGCCAAGGTTCTCGTAGGGTCTGGTTCAACCCAATTCGGTTTACGAGCTGCTGGTCCTGGTCCTCCACCGTGAATGTTAAGCCGCGCCGCAGCAGCTGAAGTCAAGTTGAATGGACGCACATTCAACGTGGACTCCACCAGCTTGTAGAAGCGTAGTGCTCGGTCAAATTCTACGGGATCCATCTCCATCATACGCTGGCTGATACGCTTGCCCACTTCCTGTGCTGTAACATACTTCTGCCATGCTCCAGGGGGAGGAACCACGTTGCTGAATTCGTGATTTGGCCCCGTATCGCTACCAATTTCAGTAGCTTTGTCTTCGAAAAACTGTTTCGCCTTTGTCAGCACCCAACGCGGCTCGATATGTTCCATCGGAATTAACGTACTGCAGCGGATAATACGCCGGACATAGAACACGTGACGACACGGCAAGTGATGATTCACCATAAAGGCACAGGAACACTGCCATCCACGCTCGGCCTCGACACAAAACTCCTTGGACGGATCATCACAGAAAACCTCGTTGTGAGCCACAGCCGATACAAAGAATGATCCACGGGTTGGCTCAAAGAACTGATACGCGCCGCGTGATATGGCGTAGCGGTACTGTGGGAACACCAGGCTGCTAGCAGCAGGACTCACGGTGGCTGCTAATAATCGCATTTCAGCGTCGTATTCCTCGCCACCAGAGCCACTACGAATCGCAGCAATACTCGCGTTACTAAGTTCGGTGTTCAAGTCACGTATGAATGCACGTTCCACTACTGTCTGGTAGTACCGGATTGCTGCGACCGTCTCGTCCAGTGCCATCTCTTCGTTCACCGCAGCGAAAATCTCTCTCCACGTAGGAGCAAACTGCCCATCATTCTCAGAGATACTGAAGGTCGTCACACCTTCACGGGCAAATGTAGTCCAGCGATCACGGCAGGAATCCCACATTTCGAGGTAGTAGCGGAAGAAAGAGTGTTGTTTCGAGCCCAACACGTCGGCCATGAGAGCGATATTTGCGCCATAGACAAGCGAAGTGGGCGCGTACACCAGCAGTTGGGCGATTCCTGTGAGCCGGTCCCGATGCCACGAAGTCAAGTCGTTCCCATGGTTTAAAATCGCCTTGTGGAGAGCACGCACGACGTGAAATTGAGAGTACAGCACACGGGCTGAAGGGAAACTCGTTCGCAGCTCCTCTAATAGACCAGGCGAGTCATCACTTGGCACGATCAAGGCGCGAATTCGAGGATGACGAGCGTTATGCGCCTTGAATTGATCGAGTGCAGCACGGAGCGTCTCGGATCGATCACTTTCCACGATAGCGTGCTGCACATACTGCCAGTTGCCGAGTGTGTCGTGAGCCATAAGGGAGAATACGCTGTAGCTTGACTCGGATGTGTTTTCCTTTGAAGGAGGCAAGGCATCCACACGCAACACTTCAGGGAATGCTTCAAAAACCTTACGCATGTGCTTCGTTTGGAGCGTAATATTCGACAAGACCTTCTGTACTTGCATAACAACATATTCACGTTAGATTTTGCAAATATTGATTCTAAATTAATGAGACCGCACCTCGTTATCGACGAATATTTTGGCCGCATTGCCCTCCAACGCGGCGAACTCGTTCACATATGTAGCCAATCGTTCCTCCACTGATTGAAGAACATCTCGTTGACTTGAGCGCACCCGCTTTACGCGCTCGAGGAACGCACGCACGTCTGCCATTGTAGGCAAGTGGGTCATATCTGTACTCGCTTTCCTGGTTGTGGCTTCGCCCTCATCGCTCCTGTAATACTTCCGAGGGCGACCAACACGTCGTCGTTTGGTCTGCTGCGTCTCCTGTGATACTCCTGACTGCGATGGTGAAGCTGTAGCCGTTGAGAGAGCTGCAGATATATGCGTAGCACCCCCTCCAAGTGGATGGTTGTGGAGGAGACTGGCTTTGGTCACGCGGATACGGTACTTCCCGTCCTCATCAAGCTGCAGCGTCGCATTTATCTGCATATATAACGCGTTATCTTCTTCTGGTATCATCTACCAAGGCAACTTAGAACGTACCCTGGCCTGGCACTCAGACGGCTGCTCTCCGTTCCAGCGTGCATGGGGTCGTGCGGCCTCCCCTCGGAGTTTATGGGAGCATTGCAGCATCCTCGTGTAGTCCAGGAATCTCTCAGGTAGTAGTGGACTGGGGAGAGGCCGACCAGAGCCTGCAATCGACGCCAAAACCTGGTTACGCGTCTTAACGGATGTGGCACTGCGACGGCTGAAGGTCTAAACGAAAGCATTAGGGGCGAGGTACGCAATTTGCTGACGCACGGAGAGGACAAACCTGATGGGTGCACTGCTGGTACTCCTCCATGTAAGCGAAGAAGTCGTCCCACGACACGAAGTCGCGGCGCTCCATGGGTGGCGCCGGCCACGACCTGCTCGCGGTCGCAGTCTCCATTTTGTGACAATGAGTTGTTATGTGTGTGTTGTGTACCTGAAAACATCTCTTAGAACTTAATTTTGTGTACATAATATGAACACCGAATACATATTAGTTTGACTATGCAACACAAAATTTCGACCAATCCTAACAAGAGTGCGTCCTATTGTGAAAAATCTAAAATCAACCATGAATTAATCAGAAATTGTATCTAACGTATAATATCGATTAGAGTTCCCCTAGCAAATAGAGTGCCCTTCGAATAGAATGCGGTCCCGCAGAGCACTCTAAAAAAATATAGTGCGATCAATTAGAGTGCGCTAACAAAACAACCTTTCAAGATCTGGACAGTGCAACCTAAACCACAGGGGGCAACCATCGTCCGCCTGAGGTCGAGTTGGTCGCAGCATGGGTAATGAAAGCGTGGCGACAGACGCCAGACTCTGTCGTCGCGAAAAGCGTTTCGATCTGTGGTTTTAGCGATGACCCTACTTCGTGGCACCAAGTTTCGAATGGCTTGGGAACTCCGTAGTCACGACGGTGCCGAAGATGACAGCGGAAGCTTTGACGACTGTGAAAGCTATGAGCACATCATGGAGGCGCTGGACGACATCGTCATTGAGGATTGATAAAGGTCACGGATCTTGGAAGACGTAGGGGCTTGTAGGAAGCGGAGGGAGGAGTCACCACTCGG